GGCTTCGGTTGGGTGGATGGTTTGGTCCCTCCCTGCTGAAGTTATGCAGCGATTCCATGACAAAGCTGCACAAATGCTGACATTGCCTGAGGTAGGACAGCATGGCAGAGGACTGCAGCATGCCCTTCCGCAGCAATTTTTGGTTTAAAGAGGTTTAAAGTGTTTGGTGAGCCCTTGCCTTGGTGTGAACCCCGAGAGTCTTAGGAGCTGTCAGCCTCATGGGTTCCTGGGGCTGTCCTGTGTACCAGGACGCACACACATTGTGGGTTTTCCCCCACTTAGCAGAGCTAGAAACAGAAAAAGGGATTTATTTTGCTTAAAGGAAACTCTCTTGGGGCAGGATATGTAACCTTTCCCATGCTACCTTAGGGCACGTGGTAGAAGCAACGTTGTGCCTGGAAGGAGCGTATTGTCCTGCCAATAACTCCTGTTTTCCAAACCAGGCTTCCTAGAAAGGAGGCAAAGGGCTTGTTAAAGATAGTAACAACCTACATTAACATCACATTTAAAATCCGCTCCCTTCATAATGGCGTGTGTGCTCCAAAGCCGGGGTTTCTTCTTACTCCAGTGATCTGCACCTTCAGGAGAAAAGAGGGGGAATGATGTTGGGAAGCACTGAGCCCTTTGCCCTGGTGGCATAAGGGGTTGGTGCACTTTAGGGAGAATCGGCTTTCTCATGTTCCTGAGACAAAATAGGCCCTGAAAAGCTGAATCTTTGGGATTCATGTCTTCCTGCGCTGCACAACATTAGGATAGAAAAATCTGGATTTTTGTTACAGGTTGGTGTAGGGTACCAAAGGCCCGGGGGGGGCAGCTTCCCCCCACCCATGTCCATGCCATAATGCTGCGTGCAGGGGAGTGAAGCACTATTTTCTGTGGGCACAGCAGGAAAGGGGGGGCTGAATCCAGTGTTGCCTGGGGGTGGGAGCCTTTGGTGGAGTGCACAGCATTTGCTAACGGGGCCCCTCATGGCTCTGCTGTTTCCCACCCGGGCTGGATCAGATGATGTGGCAGCAGGGGGCTGGAGTATGGCTGTGTGACAAGGGCCACACACTGGCTCTCAACAGCACCCAGCCCTGTGCCACAGTGCTCAGCCCTGCCAAGAGCCTCTGCTCACAAGCAGGAATTTGACTCCGTGGCCCCCGTCCAGCAGAAGGGCACAGAGCTGGGGAGATGCCCCACTCTTTGCAGGAGAGGGGAGGTGGTCTCCATCGCCTCCTGCCACGGCGCTAGCGGCCTTGGGGATGCTGCGTCCTTTTGCAACATCCCTGAGGGCAGGGAATAGAGGAAAAAAGACCCAAATAGGAAAGGGAGCTTTTTCTGGCATAAAGGAAGGGGGGAGGCAGGCAGCTGGGCTGGGGCTGCACACGCCTGTAGCTCACCTCTGCAATGGGCACCGCAGCAGAGCAGCACCCAGTGCTCCATCGCCCCACCGGGGGGTTGGGCAGGCTGCTGGCCCCCACAGGGGCCGAAGGCAAGCGGTGCTGACAGCGAGCTCCCTCAAGGGAGGTTTTTTGGGGGAAGGCAGATGTGTATTTCTCTGTGCTGAATTCATGAACCCGGATTGCTGCGATGCCCTCACATGCCCACACACAGCCCAAAATGTCCCCCAGTGCTGGAAGGGCTGAGGGTAAACTGCTCCCACAGGGAGCCCTTCACAGTGGGGTGACCTCACAGCGGCGCATTGTGAGGTCTGCGGTCCTGCGTGTCCCCCACCACAGCTGGGGATGGTTGTGGCAAGTTTGGGCACTGTGGCTCTCACCTGGGGTCTCATTAACCACCCCCAGGCAAACCCCAAAGCACGTTGGCATCACCAGCATTGCTTGGATTCTTCTCCCTGGCCAGGACCATTTCTCCTCCCCACTCACTGAGTAAGAAACCCGATTCCCACTCAGCGTCTCCAAACCCCACGGAAAAGAAAAAAAAAACCAGCGCTCTTCCCACCCTGAGTGCTGAACACCAAACACCCAGCTTTTGGCAGCAGTGGTACCAGGGCCTCTTGATTTTTTCTCTTTCAAATGTACAGCCAGGGTCACCAAAACCCAGAGTTGTCAAAAATTAAGTGATCCCCCCAGTAAACCAGTGTGCACATTCATTAATTCACTGCATGACCTTTTCCAATTAAGGTTGGACTCGATGATCCCAAAGGTCTTTTCCAACCAAAGTGATTCTATGATTCTAATAATTTACTTTATTAGAGATTTTATTTTTCTCCTTTATAAATTCTTTAAAAAGCAAAACATTTTTACTGTGTAGCTATTTTGTTTCAAATTCAATGACTTGATTAGCTTTTTCCTCAGACGCAATGGTTTTTGCCTGTCCCGTTTGAAGGTTCACCTGCCTGGTTTGCTGGTTTGTGCCCAAAGTGTGAGGCGCAGCGCTTGCGGTATTAGGTTCGCCCTGGATCTTGTGGACCAATGTGCCAACGGCAGACTGCTCCAAACAGCTCCGTGTGTTTAATCCCCCGGTCCATCGTTACCGCCGCAGGGCGTAGCTCTCTTTGTTGCAGAGATGAAAGATTCAGAAGTTTTCCAAGATTCATCTTTAGATTTAACGTTGGTTTCATTTCAGTGCTCCTAGCGCTGGCTCAAACCCACCTTGGCGTTCATGTTCTTCAGGACACGGTTGCCCTATTCTGCCCGACAGCTTTGGAACTTTGGATGTAGGAAGCCTCTTTATCGGCCGCCTCGGCAGCTTTGTCCATGGATTTGCACTTTGAATTCTCCGTTGCATCTTTCAAGCGTTGGCTGAAGAAGCCGCTGCGTCCGCTGGGAGAGCCCGGCAGCTCTCACGGCCTTGGCACCCTCGGCTCCGGCCGCGGGGTCCCCGGGAGGGAACGCTCTGCAGACCCCGAGCTCCCTGAAGCGAGCACTGACTGCTGCTGGCCATCT